TTAAAATAAATGAAGGTTACGATGATGAACTAGGCGTGCTCCAACAGCTCCTTCGGCAAAGTTTCTTATTTTGATCCCTAGAATACGATTCTCATAGAGCAATGAGCGATTTTTAAATCGACCCGCCCTAACGTACATGCATAGCAAAGGTATGTATATCCTTTGAATTTTCAGGTATGCATGTATATGTATTTGGATTTGAGTGCTGGGTATGCCATTGTGCTGAATAGCAAAGCGTATTTTCGTTTGGCAGCAGTGATTGCTTTGTTTCCTGTAGCTTAGTGCCGCATTGGCAGTCAGAGGCTGGCTGTCAGAAAATCAACGAGCACAGGTGCAAATTCGGATTAGAGTGAGTGTTGCGCACGAGAGTGTGCGGAAATGATTGTATTCAAGAGCGACATTCGAACGTTTGTTTTTGTAGATATATGTACTACACACATAACTATATGCTGACTTTTGTGAGGATAGAAAATGTGAATAACTTTGTTTATTTGAATACAAATATCAACATTTGTTGGAATTTCAATTCACGCACTATTTTTTTTGCATTGAGAGTGCGATTTTGTTTATGCTGAACAAAAATGTTAATTATTTCAGATGATGCTTTTTTTATACTTAAACTAAAATACACGTTTATATAAGTAGATACATACATATATGTGGGAATATATTGTGAAGCTTACATTCAACAAGAAGAAGACGTGAACAGCCATGTATCGACGAGAAGACGATGAAGACGCAAGAGAGAAGACGATTTGAAAAACGACGAAAGACGAGGGGAGTTGAACGACGGCGATTAAACCGAAAAGACGTGTCGGCGAGAGTTTGCTAATTCAATTTGAAGAAGTGCCATTTAAATACTTTTGTATTCTTAACTATTAATCTTAATTACTTAAATAAAACAACCTACATATATATGTATGTACGTAGCTTTAATTGTTTTAGCAGACATACCTGTTGAGCTTGCATTCCTGTTTCTGTCACTTTTGTTGTGTTGATATAAAGATGAAAAAATTCATAAGCTGGAAAGATAAGAAAGGTGATACAATTTGGTTTAGTAAGCTTCATTTCAAACAAAAATTCAAAATTTATGAAAATATCATTAAAACACTATATACAATACTTTGCAAAAAATAGTCGGAGATAAATAATATGAAGAAAATAGGAATTAAATATATAGAATAGTGAAACTAATTAAAACATTATGATATACAGTTTCACGAAAGCAATTTAAAAATAATTTTTTTTTTTATTTAAATTTAATACAAAAACTGACAGATGAGAAAAAATAATTTTTCAATAATAAAAGTCCATTTATTTTTTTACAGGCACTTTTGAAATTTATTCCAAAAAAAAAAAAACAATTACAAATCTCTAACAGTTATGTTAAAAATTTTGAAATTCAAGACATTTTTTGAAATTTTTTTTTATGAAAATTGGAATTTATTTAAATTTTAATTAAATTAAAAGTTAACAAAACAAATAACTAATTTAAAGCTTTACAATAAATGATCAGAAATATAAAAATTAAAAATAAAAAATTTTATTATTAACCCAAACCCAAACAAGCTTCAAATCGGAATATTAAAATTGGTAATGATTAGCAAGCTTTCAGAATACAAATATGTTAAATTGAGCACATGGAAATATCATAAATTAATGTTTAGAATGCGTTTTGTAATAATAACTTTTTTAGTTAAAAATTAAATTTTTTAGTATGAGATTTTCGGTGGTTAAAAAATTTCGTTATCTAATTTTGAAGTTTTCTTAGTTTTCAGGGAATTTAAATGAACAAATTTGTATGGGCAAACATTTTTAGTATAGATCTGTCCACATCTCTCGTTAAAAGGATTCGGTAAATTTGCTCGATTTTAGTGTATTAAATTTTATTATATGTAAGTAAAAAATAAAAAGAAAATATACATATCGCTCATTTTCTTCAATAACTCAAAAAGTCAAAAACTGGAGAAAGTTTTCAATTTACACATACTCCTATATTGTAAATGAATACATATTTTGTTCGGTAGAGCTCAGAAATTTTTACATACCATAGAAGAAGAGGCAACTGTCATTTCTGGATATTTAACTGGATTTTTGGTTTTTTTGTCATTATACTTTTGTAGTAAGTGAGCGATATGTATATATGTATCTGAGAATTGTGATTGGAAAAATTTTATTAAAAAATAAAATTTTTTGTTTAGGTTTGCAGTTTTTTTTTTCAAATTTAAATTTCAATTTTAAATTTGAGGCTTATGTTCAAATTAAAGAAAAATTTTACAAAATTAAAAAAAATCTTTAATTTCAAAACCACTTTTTTAAGATTTTATCAATTTAAATTTTTGGTTAACATTTTTTAACTTTATAATTTTTTTAACGATGTTATTTGTTTTTGGTTTTATTTAAAAAATTTAATTTTCATTAAACACTTTTGATTTTTCTAAATACATGGCAACTTTTCAAAAAAATGTTTCTTTCTTAATTTCTTCAAATTCTTCATTCTTCATTTCATTTCTTAATTTCTGCAAAGAAATTAAAAGGAAAATACATTTTGGTGCCGCTTTTATTGGTTTTAAACAAAAAATTGTTTACTTTGGTTAAATAAAAATAAATAATAGTAAAAAAATATTTCTTCGTGCTCATTTCATAATTTCCTTAAAAAGTTATTGGCGATATTATTTGGGCTAGTTTTATAAATTTAAAAAAAATTTTACTTTTGTTCAAATCCTTTATTTTTCCTTTTTATAATTTCAGTGAGTTCATTTCCTTAAAAAAGCAATGAGTTCCAAATATTTTCATTATTTTTTCGAACTTGCATTTCTTAAAGTTTTTTTCTGAAGTTTTAATTTTCTCAAATATCAAATATCCAAATAAATTTATATTAACTTGAAACAAAATTTCAGCAGAAACTTTTGCTATAATTTCTCTTCATTACTAGTATTTAGCAGGTAAGTACATTTATTGCTAATGCAGTTTTGTAGTTACGTAAAAAAACGTTCCTACTTTTCCGTGACTAGTTCTTAAAACTATGTAAATTACTAAAACAACAACAGTACGGTTTTAATATCACAATCAACACTCATCGCTTACAATAAACAATGCAACCACGCCACACCGACTAATTAATTTCGGAATTCTGCTGGAAACCGCAAAATCTCATTATAACTTTCGGGCTACACATATACACTCATACACATGCACGCAAGCACATAAAACAAATCAGTTGCCACCTTCCCGTCAATATACAGCACATTGTTGCATATGTCTGCTACACCTTATTTGTAGAGTCCTACTTACCCTCCCCGGAGAGAAGCCAAATAACCGCACATTGCTTATGCAAGCCTACCTATGTATGTAGATATCAGAATGAATGAAATTTTCGCACACCCAATTAAACTTTTGCATACACTTAGGCGCTGTAAAAGTACCACCCCAGAACTATGGCGCTGGTAAGATGAATATCAGCAGTGCAACACGATTTTGCTGCTTGGGGCGAGGAGGGGGAAAACTAAAAGTATAATACGAGTATAATGTAATTTCAATTTGATGGATATGCATAAGTAAGTTCGAAATGAATGAATTGCAGTAATAAAACAAAAAAAAATGAAGAGAAGGTTCATAAATTTCGTAACATTGAAGAACTTTTTTTTTGCTTTTTTCTTTTTTATTATGCTGTAACAATAACAATCAACTTATGTAAGTGATCAAAAAAGTGCCAGCGGCCAGCCATACACCTGAGCTACTATTTTGCGTTGAGTTGAGCTGTGTGTCGATGAGGGAGGTGATGGTGAGGGAGAAAAACTAAGACTTGAGCAAATAAGCTGAACAAAAGGTGACGAACAAAGGTCAAATTTTAGCACAAAAGTCTAGGAAGTATAAAAGAGGCGCAAAAAATGGTTTATTGTTATTTTTTTTTGTTGCTTTTCTTGGAACTACGAAAGATATTCATATGAATGAACACATTTGTATGTAAATTGACAAACACTTACATACACACGTATGTATATAAATATACCAATATCTGTAAGAAGGTTGACTAGCAAAGTGGTTCTTTTGCAACTTCTGCTGAAATTAATTTGAGACTTTTAAGCCGTGGGAAAATATGCATGTTACGGCATGAACAATTTTCGATAATTCTTTTCCTTTAACGGAAAGATGGAATCTTGAAGAAATTAATGAAAATATTAAATTTTTACATAAGCATAGAATTCGGTTCTATATTTTGCTTAAAAAATACTTGTTAGCTCTTGGAACCCTTCACTATTAAAGAAATGTGGTTTCAGTGGGTAACATTTTTTTAAAAAAAAAAAAAAAGGTTTCCTCGAAATGTGTGATTTTAAATTGCATATGAAAACAGATATTTTGAATTTCATGTTTTAGCTAAAAAGAAAGCAGTTTTTTTTAGAATAAACAAACAACATAGTTTTCCCAAATTTTGGATTTAAATCAGATTTTCGATTCATTTTAAAATAATAAATTGTTATTTTTAATTCTAGAATAAATTTTGTTTTGAGTACTAAAGAAATTAAAAAAAAAAAAAAAATTATTACATTTTTTTACAAACTTCTGGTTTTAAAATTGATTTTGTATGGTAAATTTCTTTTTCAAGATTTTTTCATAATCTGGTTGTTCACACTTGTCTGGTTATCAGGTTATCTGGTTAAAAATAAATTTTCTGTAGTGTATTTCGTTGTTGTACAACAATAAAATACACTACAGAAAAATTATTTTTAAGCAGACAACCTGATAACCAGGCAAGTGTGAAAAACCACAATATTTTTTTTACAAATGTGAACGTATTTAACTTTGATGCATTAACTTTCAAAAACAAATTTTAATAAACAAATTGTGTTATAAGTATTTTCGAAATCAAGGATTGTGAGTGACACAAATGTTTACTTTCAAAAATAAGTAAAAACATTTTTTTTTTCAAAATCCTAGTTTTTAGTTGCTAATTTTTTTTTTTGGAGGTTTGGGAACCCTTATTAACTTTAAAATATTTTAAATTTTAGAAAAAGTCGAATTTTATTGAAAAAAAAAATTTGTTAAAAAAAGTACTTGCAGCCGGTTTCACCAGAAATTTCTGTCAATTTCCATATAAGATTCAAAAAAGTATCATTTTTCACTTAAATTGCTTTCGTGAAATTGACTGTTAAATTTTGAAATTTTTGATTCATACTGAAAATTTCGGGATTAAAAAAAAAATTAAAAATGCTTAAACCACAGAAGTAAAATGAATATAAATTTTGGTTAATTTTTTTTTAACAGCTTTGAAGACCTGCGTTCTGATATTTTCTGTTTAAAAGTTTTTTACTACCAAAATTTTAAAAATTTTATATTATAAGTTCATACTGAGTATTGAACTACCAAGAAAACTTTAATCTACATATAAAAACATTCAAGAAATGAAAATAAAATTTATTCTATCAAAATTTCTTAAACCTTTTTGTGGCTCTCAAGATATTACGTATGCAGGTATATTTGGTACAAAACTTTTATAAAGGTTATTTTTCCGAAATTAACTACTAAGCTTTAAAAGTAGTTATAATTAGATAGGTACCTGGGTTTCAAAATTTCCTAATTAATCTAATCTAATTAATCTGAAAAAAAAATTGAAATACAATTATGTTAAATTGTATTAAATTATATTAATTTAAATAAAATTAAATTGAATAAAAAAAATAAAATAAAATTTAGAAAAAATTAGAAAGCCCCCTTCAAACACAAATAAACTAGTAAACATAAAAATGGGTTTTTTTTCGAAATCCAGTCTTTAGAATTTCGCAAAAAATATTCTATAAATGTACACGTTTAAACTGAAATTTTTCGAAATCATCCCGCCTAATCTTTTGGTGCAGGTTTTATATTGATCTATTGATAGTTTTTTCATTTCTTATGATTTTGAAAAGAAAACAAGTAATTCTTAAGTAAAAAAAAACAACAACCGACCTTAATAATCACATAAAAATTTAGGAGTGCTCTTAGTTTCCAAAGTTATTGGGTACCTACATATAAAAATATTCCG